TTTCACATTGTCCAAGATTAGTCTAGAAACGGCAAAAAGTAATAAACACTGCATAACGTAATACTGATGACATGTATCACCTTAAGACTACACTGATGTTTTAGCGATACCCTACCATCATTTACATGTACTAGTGTAAGTACGGTGACTTGCTTGATGCGGTTGACTGAAAAAAACGTCAACGCCACCATCTACTTTGTCACATTTATAAATAGAGCAGTCGAGGTTTAAAAACGTAATGTATGGTACCGGCTACACTCAATGACAGCGTGCAATTGTAGCAGTACTTAAAATCCATCGTCCACCCCTTAGTTATGTAAAATAATCGCCCAGTACAGTAATATCAAGTGATTCCGTTTTACTTCAAACAGCAGATTACCCACTTCTACATCGCAAAAGTAACACCTCGGTTGAGTTTTCACCTTTCGAAAAAGACCTTAGCTGATATGAGGCAGATCTGCAGTACCATGCAGTACCGAACCTTCCAAAAGCAAGTTGATCACAGGCACGCACACAACAAAACATATACTCACAACAAAAAGCTCATTTCTCTTTGCGAAAGAAGAAAAAACGCGAGGACAATTGGACTCCAAAATGCTATTAAATTAAATATCAGTGTATCCCAATCCAATTAATAATACAGGGCACAATCGGCAGCTCTTCCCTTTTCCTTGTTCTAGAATCCGAAGCCAAACTTCTTCTTCCTCTGCGAAGTCTCAGCGTCTGGTACCAGCGCCTCGCGAGACCGAGCTCCGTGCTGACAATGCGAGATTGAAAGACCAGTGGAAAAAAACCAACAGACTCATGTGTTAAAAAATAAACGAGAAAGTCGATTTATTGAAAACCAAAAACGTCAAGTTTTAAAAATATTTCGCTATATAAAAACGTTCACTGCCATAATTAATCAATTCTAATGTTGCTTTAACTGGGTATGAGCCAGATAACGAAACTGCAAATGTGTAAATGCTGCATGTTTTAATTTATGGAACTTCGTTATCTTCGGAGTTCAATGTAACGCTCTCTAATATGAAAGATCATTTTAAAGAGAAATATACTTTTATGTATATGACTCACGATTAATGTAATAAGGTAGGTGCTTATAGAAAAAAAATAACTTTCAGCTGTCAATCTAACCGCCTTCTGACATCTCATACTTAGTTGACGTATTTTCCTAGCTTGAATGGTAAAAATAAAGTAAAGAATATAAATAACTTTGAACCTATCACATTATTTTAGCATGTACTTCATTATAAAGCAAGACGCATTCTTCCGTAAGGTACAACACCGTGCAGCCAAAACGTATCTTCGCCCCTAGATGTCACTGTTCCGATATTATGTGCGAGTTTTGATGAAGGACGTTCTCTTTGTGGTCTTGTTTATTCTGCTTGACCTTAGCGCACATGCGTTCATCATGCTGTTCCTTTTGCAGTGACATTATGCTGTTAACGTTATAATTAATATAGTACAGTGTATCTCCCTTTAAAAGTTATCGGAATACAGTAGCAATTTAAGTACAAAGGCTAAAGAGGTGCTGTACAAAACAAGGCACTGTAACGGCTATCTGAAGAGATCTAACTTTTCCGTAGGTTAATGCAGTACCGAAGATGTCAACTCCCTGTAGGTCAATGCTCATCTCCGTGCTTCTCCGAAGGTTCAATGGGAGGCTGTATTTCTCCTCGAAGAAAATCTTACAGCACTCAAATGTGCCGATAACCTTCTGTCCTACAGCAAGTACAAGCGGACGACTTCCTCGCCACCAGTGTGTATCTACGTATGCTCACTTGTTTCAGGCCCCTAATAATCTGGGAAAGCTCCCGGTTCAGCGTTGTCTATCCAGTCAGGTAAAATCATTTGAAGTGCAGTGATGCACGTTCAAACATTTTACATGTAAACCTCATTATACATATTCTGTTCGGTCTATAAGTACCCTACTGTCTTTTGGGTTTGGTTTCAGCTTATTGACCTGTATCTTATTATTAGGAGTATTAAGAAGCTGGGTGTGTTTACTTATTGCATTAATATTGACTTTGAACGAGTTTCTGGGATGTACCCTCATTAAGGTGTGCGGAATGTAAGTTGACCCCAGAGTCGTTTGTTTGAGTGGACGTTCGGTACGATGTCACCTGGACCCATGTCTAGTATATATTACTATTAAGTCAATCCATTACGAGTTGCTAAAATGCAGCAGCAGCCTGATAAGCAAATTGGTAAGACAAAGATCAGGGTTTTGTTTGCTGTCTGTATTTGTTTACAACAAAACACCTGCAGCAGAGTATTTGTGAATCCAGATGTTGGGTACAGAAACTTAAAAGGTTTTAATCATCCAAGAAGTTCAATAATAGGGATCAGTTAGCCTCATTGATTAAGAGGCCAGTTAAAAGTAAAACCAGAAGAGACTGAAATCAGAAGGTCTAAAAGTAGCCACCTTACCTCAACACCTCTAGTTCACGGCATTACAGGACTTTGAAGTGTCCAATAACGTTTGAAAGCGTGATTTCTTAATTAACTCATG